AAATAGGGGTAGGACAGCCAAGGTAAGAAGTCTATTTTTTAAGAAAGTATTGTCTTTACAAAAATGACGCTTTGACCACTCTATGTGTGATAGCTTGAAGTTATATGTATCTATATTTTCTCGGGTTTGTTATAATCAGTAACATTAACTTGTACCTTTGATTTACGTTTAAGGCTTTTGTGTCCCAAAGGCAAAAATCAAATTGATTCTGATTTATTTTTTGAAGAAATACTACAATAAAATGTCCGTGTTCATTATAGTGCTTTCTCGCTAAAAGTTCTTTTCTAAAAAAGAAACAATACAAATTCGTCAAATATTAACAGGAAGGTATTTTTTATGAACAATGATATTGTTCATGTCGCTTGTTTCAACTGTTACTTGAAACATAAAATCAGTGTCATTTCATAGACAGTTAATGAAACTTTTTTATGATTTTCCATTAACTTTTTTTGTAATCTGACTCAAATATGTGCCAAATTCGAAATAAAGGAATCAAAAAATAATAATTCTTAAAGGTCATAGGCGACTAGGGCATAAACATTTTAACACACATTGCAAGGAAGTATCATTACAATTCTATTTGATTTTGTGACACAATTCTAAGCTAATGTTGTTTGTGATGAAGACATTAAGAAGACAGTATAATGCTCTTTGATTCATGTCTCAAGGAATATCATAATGTGAAACCTTTCTGTAATCAAGATCAATGATTAGAAAGGATTGAAAACTTAGAACGAATGTTGTCATTTTATTTCAGCGTTTGTGGCGTTTCGTATCGTCCATATCCAAGTGTCAAAATGGTCCAGATTATGCCGTTAAGATTGCACCGTTCATCCTGAATATTTTTATAGAATCTTGGGTATCATTCAAATACAGAAAGCTGGAAATCTTCGATTTGACATATTTTTGTCCTAATGCTTCATATATGCCGTAGATTATTGCGTTTGCATATTTCATCCTGAATATTTGTATGACCAGTTTTAAAGTTTCATGTTCATTTGTTGAACGAAAGACGCTCACGAAATTACTTCCACTACGCCATCGACATGCACGTACAGTTCCCCCATGCAGTACGCTTTTTGATAAACTGCATCATTGGCAGGTAGTCATATAAAATGACACTTAATATGCCTTGATACTATAGCGTCTCTGACATTGAATACTAGTACAATGTTATATCAGTTCTCGTTTATATGAAAAGAAAATTCATGTTTCTCATTACCATTACAGAGAGGAGTAGAAGTCTCTTGAAAATGAAAAAAATTAAAGCAATTATGTGCAATGTTATGTTTTCTAGATAAGATTTATTATTTGATATTTTCCTTGAAACACGACACTTTTTGATTTTTACTATGAACTCATTAATATCTTTAATAAGCAAAACTACATTTTTTTTGTATTAATATCATGATTTTTAGTGAGTTTATTCAAGATAATGTTGCATTTTCATATTTGCTGCAAGGCACAAAATGATTGCAAGCGAAATAAGTGAATAAGGTCAGAGACATTCAAAGGTTTTTAAATAAAATAAGATAACCTTTTTTCCATTCACATAGTAAACAAAAACCTAGTTTTTTCTTTGATTGATTTTACTACAAATATCAGAAGATAAGTGTCTTGTAGATACTAGTACTATTCTATTGTCTTGTCTTAGTACAGAATAGAAATTATTGTTTATAACGCTGAGAAAATATTGCGAAAAAATCCAATAAAAATAGTAATATTTTGTATCATTATTTTTCTATTAGATATACATTTAAGACTGATTAAAAGCCCCGCTCAAAACTAAAATAAATGAATGATTGAACCTCTACATCAATTGAACTCTAAAGTTTCAGTTCCTGTTTGCAGTCAATAATATTTAATATGAGGATCATTGGGTTATGAACAATTAATAATGTAATAGGATTTGTCTGGATTATTTGTTATGTGTGAATTTTTGTCTCAGGATCTTCCATAACGATTTCTCTAGAAATATGGTGCATATTTTCAAATATGACAAGAAACCTAGTTAAAACCATCCAATTTTACTTTTTTACCAGGGAATTCAGAGCAATGTGATACCAATGATGCACTATCAGTGTGGTATTTGAGGTGCTCATGTCGCATTTAACGAGTTAGACAAGTATAAAAACGTTCCATACCCCCACCTCTATAAATTCTTATATTTCTTGACAATGGTCTGGGATCTAAACAGGAAAGCCGTGACAAATATCTTCAGTAATGAGTTTGTCTTCTTGAAAGTTAATATCCGTAAAGATTAAATGATGTCCGAGACAAAAGCCTCATTCAATAACCCCGATTATCCAGCTTATGATAATTATTATGTCTCTGAAGTTCTTTTGAGTCTTCTTTTCACATGGCATGAACAGTCTGGACATCGATAGATCATTCTTCGATCAAAGTTTATTGGATTTCTGTTTTGATAACCTTCATGGCGATCATTTTCAATCTATTCTTTGCATGCCTGTGCGTCCAGCCTCGACTATGTCGTCTATGGTTGTATTGTTTCCTAAATGGTTTGGTGTAGGTCTATATACAAGGGCTCGTGTTTGATATTGCCAACATCGTTTAGCATTTAGGTTTTCGAAAAGTATGTACCTTCTGTAGAAAAGTTAACGTATCAAAAAAAAAACATCCAAGATTTCCTGTTATTTTCACTATTAAAAAATAAAAAGTTGGCATGTGCCCAGGAGCTGCTGATTTGTGTTTTTTAATATTTTACGATTTTCTTTGTTGGAGATCAGAGTGTAATTTAATTGAGATCACTTTTTATATGCAATGATTAACGAGTTTTCATGACATTTCAAGTCCAATAGAAAAAATGCGCGAAACAATTTGTCTATTTCACAGAAGATTTGACAGAGAGAAATAAAGAATGTTTTCTTGATAATAATAGTCCCGAATCATGCAAGTAAGAATCAGGATAGAATTACATGGAACGATCATATTTCATCATTATATCATTTATAGCTGTTCAAGTGAAATATCTCTGTTCATTTCAGATTGAATAATGCTTCACGAGGACCATAAATATCGGCATCAGAGAAGCGGTGTGGAATGAAACTGAATACTATGATGGCTGACAATAAATACTACATCTTCCAACTTATTTTATTTTTAAAAACTTTATCTGAGATTATAGCCGATTCCTCACAAAATTGTAAGTTTTGTTTTTACTTATTATTTTCACGTATTCTGAATTACTAAGGAAACGCACTTATAATATAATTGATGCTGTGAGTTAGAACTTGGAGCCGTGGTGCCTAAGTGGGTTAGAATTTGCATGTAAACCTCAAGTATGCGGGCATAGGTAGAGATAATAACTTCGGACTTGTTGGAACATACTATTTCTCTTTACTTACGCTTGGTGCGAAGGTTATCAGGGTCTTGATACAAAATAGACCGGAAGTGATTAAAACTTCGTTCATCTCTTCTTCACTGTTAACATCTGATGTAGGCCATAATAATGCTGCGACAAACAGAATTGAAATGTAAACGAGTAGTATAACTTCGAGTATACAAATCCATTGCTGCAAATGTTCAAAATTAAAACACCGCCAGTTTTATTTAGCTAATTTGTATTTATGGTTTGGTATATCAAGGACTGCCACGAACAGAGTGTATCATGTCATGTCATTTATTTCTCCTATTACTTTCCGTCAGATTGATTAGTTTATTTGAAGCTACCATGGAACTAATTTGTCAAACCACGAGATTCTATTCAGTGGTCAATTGCAATGGATAATACCAGTATAAATTATTTTCATTATTTCACAAAATAACACTCGTAATAATTGTAAACTTGAGATGACGCCAATTCACCACCCTGTTGAAAAGAGTAAACCTTCATAATTTTTAAACCTGATACCTCCAGACTTCAGTGTGCACCATCCGCCCCTCCTAATTTTAGAACGTGCTATTCTGGGCTCGGGGTTTGCACCATCATTTCCAAATGATGACAAAACTCTTAATGGTGTTTCAAAAAACTTCAATAAGTCGAATTTCGTATTTAAAAACTAACATTGAAGAGATTGGTTACTAAAATTAATTCTGACATCAATTGTATTGACGAATTAAATTATTAGATTATGACCTTTATTCTGTCTGCTAGATTGACACGTATAATTATGTTGGTTAATCCACGGTGATACGGTATGAAATGAATTCCTGGTCTGTACAAAAATACCTTTTGGGTATATGGTGGCAATAGGTCCTTTACGGACTGAGTTTGGTCACTGTCTTTTTTGTGGCAGCTAAATAGAATGGCTCAGTCAAGAGCGAGTTTGTAGTCTCATAGGCGATTATGTGGGTTCGAATCCCCTTCAAGGTCTGACAAATTCTGATACTGTGAAATGTAGGCATGCTGTCAGCTTTCAATTTCTATCACTATTACAGAGATGATGGTTTAGTGCTGTAATGTAGATAATATATTGCAGTATGCTTGGTTGAATTCCATGCGGCTCGATAAATATGACCTTTGAACCTGTTGAATCAATACTTAGATTCAATGAATATCATAATGAATTCCCTACTTGAATCTTGATATTTATAATAATATTGAACATCTGGTTGTAAGACAGGTGGTCTACAAATGACAGGCGACAACAGCGTGTAATTACCATTAGTTTACAACTGAACATGGCGTATATTATATTACTATTGCCATAGAAACAAGACTATAATGCTAATAATTTGCCTGTACATAAATGATAATACATCTCTCTACAGGTGTATATTTCATTCATTAATCAGTAAAATAAGTAAATATGTCCGATATTTTGGCATTAAATGAACTTGCGAATGTAATGAAATCGGGCTTCAACTCTATATCTATATATCTATCATCACCAAAATCAAGCTTAAAATATTGGCACATAAAAAGAAGTGTTGGAGGGCACGATTAAAGCATTATCAAACAAATTGCTTTGTGTTTTTACATTTGTTTTGTCAGTAATAGTCGACTACGACTCATCTCATTCTGTGGATCCAAAATCACAATGACAATTGGTAGGTAGTCGAAGTGAAGTTTCCAATATGAAACGAATGAGCATAAATTACATTACTAAGCAGGAACGCGTCTTTAAGCTCTGATTATGAGTCGTGTAGCTGGTGCCAAACAGTGAATGACAAAGGAAATTAGTAAAAGAGTGCTAAAAAACAACATTATTATTTCGCAACATTTGACTTCACAATAAATCTAAATCCTTTTTTTCAATTTCCAGATTAAAATGGCACTAAAGGTCGATTAGTCAGTAACTGACGCAATTATCATAAAACTCTGGTAGAAACCGTATGGTTAAATGATACTCGAGACAATTGCCGACTTGATAGAATCATCTCTTTACATAATCATCATTTACATTTCCTTTACATTCAAATCACGAACATTGTTTAGTTATTTAAAGGTGAATTCTTAAGAAAAAAAACCATCATCGATATCAAACAAATTACTTTGCCTTCACCTGATGTACAAGTTCTTAACATATTTTCTTAAACCCTTTACCATTACAAAAATTATTCGTTCTGGGAACGAAACGGATGTTTTTTTTTGTGGATACTATAGGCAAAAGCATGTTCCCTTATCCTAGTATGTAAATACATATTGTTTATACCAAAAAAATGTAAACAGACGATTTTTCTGAGAACCGTTCCAATGCTTAAAAAGGTGATTTCATAACGTATTGTAAAGAGGTTAATGTTCATGCCCTTAAAGCAGCCTTCACCATTTCCCGCGGATTTTAGGCAATATTCAGTGCCACTATATTTTGCGAGTACAAACACTGGTTCCAACTTCTTCAGGAACAGTTCTACGGATGAACTCGTCTGTTTCCATATACACAAGTAAGTGAAGAAAAGTTTTCAGATCACACGCTTTTACTCAAGGGTATATGGACACATTTTATCGCGGTCCGATGGGGACTATTAGAGAAACGCTTAAATGCTCTGAACTGTTTATCATAAAATCATATTATACACCCAAAATATCAACGACAAGGGCAATATCTACACGCTTAAGGGCAATTAAGAAAAACTACAACAATGAATCAGTTGGAGTTAAAATCATGTCTGTATAAGATCCGGTATAAGAGAAGATTTGAAATATGAAATGATATAATATATTACAAGTGGCAGGCAAACGTCTGTTCATTCCTGTGGAAGAAGATGGAAATGAAAATAGAAAGCAATGGAGGGTTGTAATTAGGTTGTGATTTGAACAATGAAATGAAAATAAAGTAAGATATCATTACCATTTAGATAGTTTTTCTGTCCTAGTGAGAATCTAGATGGATATTGAAGAGATTGATGAAGTACCATGGTTTATTTGTCTCTATGGTTCCTTCAGACAAGTCAAAACCTTTTCATTGTCAGCTCTCCATCACGCTGTTTACATGATTAGAATATCTTCTACAATTCAAATTACTTCCAGATTAAGAGTAACGATAGTATATTAGTCAAGAGCAATGCAGACAGGTAAAACGTACGACGCGTTAACTTTTAAACAGGCAAAGCATATTCACAAACTTAGCGTGGTTAAAGATTGCAAGCGATTGGCCATTTTCTGAATTGTCATAAGTTTTGGGTGATGCCAAGTTTTAATACAATGAGCGACTACTTTACTGAAATTTAAGGCAAAATAATAACGATATAGGTACTAAAACGAAGCAGAAAAGGGCAAAAAAGCTATTATTGAAATATAAGTAAAATTAATAAATATAGTTCTTTTAAATAAATGTCATAGAAAAGAAAACTAAATAAAGTTAATTAAAACAAATAATATAAAAAGGTAAAAAAATAGAATTGCATGAAGTAGAAAAATGAATATAATTGAAATAAAATTAAAACATATGTAAATATGATAAAACAACAGAACTATATTTTTAGCTCTGTAAATAAAAGCAAAGCTATTGTGATATAAACAGCTTGTATTCAAGACAACCATGATGTAAGAATTGAAAGATTTTCAGGACCTGCGTGATTAAGTGTCAAAACAACATCATACTAGAGAACTGATTAAGCGAAGGTTGCCTCAGGATATAATTTCAATGGCACAATTTGAGAATAATTGTACATGATTTAGATCAGAATTAGAGTCTATAACCGGGGGTAGTACAACTTAATTTCTCACTGGCGCCTTGTAAGGTGTATAATCAGAGAGTTTAACATGACTTATCACCTGCTCTTGATATTAAAATCTCCCGAATGGATGGCAGATCAGGTGATCAAAGATAACATTACAGACATCATTCCACTATGACAGTCACAACAGAGTTTCAAACTGAAAATGTTGCCGATCAAGTCATAATGAACAAATTCAAGAAGGATTTGTCTCATTGCACATTGGATAATATTCATTCTAATGATGACCTGCGATTTCTATCCGATTTTTAGCATACTCCTTTGTCAGGCGTTGCCTAAACTGACGTTGACAATCGATCAAGTTATAATTAAAATTCAAGAAGGATTTTACTACATACTGCATATATCATTCCAATGATACAATTTCTATATGGACTATCTGATTATTTTCTTTCCTCTTTATCAGGGGTAGCTTTGTCTAAGATTTAAGACCAATATATCTTGCTATGTATGGATAAATAATGTATGTGGACAAAACAATGTATCAGAGCGACACTAATAACCGTTAATATCACTTTTCGTTCGTTCCTTTTCAGATATGCTACCAGGTAGAGCATGTAATAAACTATATTCAGATTTAGATGGTGCTGTAATAGAAGGCAATGGTGATATATATTATTTTGATCCTTGTCAAATACAGATCCAGTGTCGACCTTATGAAAAATGGATGTTTCACGTCGAACAAATATCCTTATTAACCTGTAATGTTTATATTGAAATGTTTTATTCCGATTTTAATCACCAGACGTCATCACCATCAGTAAGTATTAGTTCACGAATTCTAATGCCCTCCTAAAACCATTTCCTTGACGTACGGGATCATCGTAAGGTTCTAAACATTGTTATTGAAAGATGGGTATATGAATGATAGTCCAATTACGTAGTAAAGTTTCATTTTCTCTGAAAACATGTAGTGGATGTATCGCTTGTAGGGTAGGACACGCACTGCCTCTTGTGGATCCTCGACGCAGATTTGCAATATAAACTAACATCTTCAGTCAAACTTGTAATAAGCATGCGGCCATGGGAATGCTCAAAAGTGGCTGATTACTAAAGGGTGGAGCTCAGCAAGGGTTTGGCTCACTCAGTTACGAATGGCAAGTTGATATTTTGTAACTACTAACAGCTACATGCATGTCCACTGATAATCAAGTTTTGATCATTTAATTACCATTCCCAAAATTTATTTTTTGGTATCTTTTCAGTTCACATTCCGTTGTGCAGAACCCAATCCCGGCATTGTATATACCAATTCATCATACATAACATTAAAACTTCATCATAACAACGAAACTGATTTCCGGTTTAGGATTGTTTTTACATGTCGCAAATTTGGTGAGTTTTTGATTCTTTTCTTGCAATTTTCATTATTTCTGTGTCATTCATTTTAAACCTGAAAGGAACTGTATCGCTTGCATTAGCCCAATTTTCAGGCTGTGGTTCTTGTAATTTCATTAAAACTAAACTTTTATGGGGTTGTAATAGAAAAAAACTGGAGATATCAGCAGCTTTTGCGATAATGACAACAAAAAAACTTTAATGGAATTGCAAAACCACAAACGCCTGGCTGAAACTTGGAATGGTGCTATCACCGTTTCCAACACATATTAACAGTTTAAAAACCATTTAACAAACCCTGTAATATTGTGATTGCAATAATGAATGTTTTTTTTTAACGGCTCACAAAGTCAGAGGGAAGGGGGAATCATTACTACAGCTAACCTTGCCTAATATTCACCGACATCTAAAATGTCAGGGCTTTGTGAACAGCTCATGTCGAGTTCATTTCTCTTCAAGCAATGTACATTTTTATTTAAAACTGAGAAAATGCAGACAAATTAATAAAAAGCAAATTCATCAGGAAAAATAAATACTCATTTCAGAGTTTTTATTCAGAGCTGGAGGGTAAAACTAACTAGAGAGTAAGATAATACATGCTAAAAGAGTCATAAAGAAGACAAATTATTTACTTTCTGGAGATGTTATTTAACTTAGGAAATGGAAAAATCTTGATAATCAAATTAAAAAGATTAGAGATCTTTCACATGTCTTAATGTTCTTGTCACATCTTTCACTCTCGAGTTTCCAGTGAACTATTCTGCTATCAAATCAACCCATCCTTCCCGTTGATTGATCTTTCTAAATAATTACGTTGGTGATAGAATGATTCCACTACACAGTGGTTCATTCATTACATGTCAAAATAGTAGATTTGATTTGATGGATATTAATAATCATATCGTAATATGTAAACAAGTCATTAATTCTTCCAGTAGTTTGATTCTCAAATTTCTATGACTTTCTGATCATTCTATATATTGAACTGATTTGTACACAAATGTCCAATAAATAGGTAGTTTAAACAATGTGATTTGTATATGATCCAATCATAATATAAAGGCTTGCTGAGCACTCAAACCCAGTATACAATAGAAGGCAATATTGGAACTGTTCGGGCTGAAAGAAAAAATTCTTCAAAATCTTGAAGTTGGCAAAGATTTAAGTTTGGGTTTCTGCTAGTTGAGCAGTGTTTTTATGGGACGTAGTATCAGAAGTGTGATCAAACCTTCAAAATACAATCTAACCGTCTAGATTTTGTACTTGTGTTGTCGACCTAATTCCTGGTTTTATCAACTCTACTCGGTATTCAAGTATCTATCGTCTACCAACTTGAGTTCTTGAAAACGTATCTTCGTGAAAGTGACATAAATTTTGAGTTATACCATTCAGCATCTTACACAGAGTTTTACACAGGGTTATTGAAGGCAGTTGATCAGATAGGAAGAGATAAAAATGAGCTTTTGATCAGTTATGGACTTTTGAAACAGGACCTAACAACGAGCATTAAGTTATAAATGCTAGGAGTTTTACGTGTTTTCTGTATCTGTTTGGGTTAATGAAGACTTTAATGTTATTGATAAATGTACTTAAATAGAAAGATAAAACATAAACTGTTAAGTGATATATGTGGTGAATCGTGATTTTGTATCCATTTTGGTAAATTTTATCATATCACTCGGTATAATATTCAACTCTGAAATTAGCTGGTAAAGATAAGTGTGTCTTTGAATTAATGTTGGATAACATTCGTCTATGTCTATAACGTATCATTGAGATCTTGGCACTAAAAATATTGCTGCACTGATACTATAGTGGAACTGTTCGTTGTGCGAATGGTTGTTTTGAATATTAGTTAAGATACGAACCAGATTTGAGGAAATACAGCAATTTGATTGGTTGATACAACTAAATTTAGAATCGAATTAGTAATTGACCAATCATATGATTGCGAAGAAATTGGTCCCAGACATGTAAGTGAATGATCAGTTAAGCAAAGTCAAGACATTAATGTCCTTTAAAGAAGGGAAGAAATTGAATGTTTAGTATGGTAAGGTATGTCATTAGATTGAATCCACAGGGAGGTCGTGTTAAGCAGTAACCTTCTAATAACATATTTTTATGTAAGCTCAGGGGTTATCAATATGTCTCTAATCGTGAAGGATAATTCAATATGGATAGTTACAGGGCCTTTTATTACCTTTCCATTGATTACATCAAAAGGGTAATGGTAATAGAATCAAATTGAAAGGCTTAATGACTCCACTTTATAACTGTCAATACGAGAAATTCATTCAAAGATTACAGAAGTGAATAGACAAGTATTGAATTCAATTAGATTCGATTGGAAATGTATAGCAATTACATTTATTAAAGACTTAGATTTCGGGGAAGGGAGGGTTTGATTCTCCCAAATGTACAGGCCTAGGGTGGAGCAGACACTTTATTTAGAAATTAGGATTAAGGGTCTTGATATTGGGTTTTCTTCTGTTTCTTATTTTGATCTGAAATTAGAAAAAATAACTCACCCGATGGGCGAGAAGTATAGTATCTGTTATGTACTGATTGTTTTTAATTTACTATGAACAATATTATCATTTAAGTTCTTATTTTTTGAATATGCAACTATCATTTTCTGCTTATAGACATGGGGGAATTTCTCTTGAAGGCTCTTATAGTGGGCATGAACTATCCTGCTTGCTCGATTGCTGGTTGTATTAAACGGGACAACAAAGGGTGCTATGCCTACATTATGATGAATATTTAGTCCTATAGGTCTTGCTGTATTCAATGTCTCAATCCAATGGGCCTCCCTAGATTGACGGAATTTGGTAGTTTCATCTTCGGGCAAGTCAATTTCTATACGCTCAATTGGGATTAGGGTGAGATCGTCTATTGAATGGTCGTCGAGGTTGAAATGAGTAGAAACAGGCTTGTCTTTCTTTAATTTGATGTCTGACCTATGAGCATTAAAGCGAGTTCGTAAATTATTCTTAGTTTCTCCTACATATTGTTTGGGGCATTTCTTGCATGAAATTAAATATATTACATTCGAATGTTCACATGTTAGATGTTCCTGGATCGGGTACCTTTTATTCGTAGAGTTGCTTACAAAATAATGAGTTTCTGATATAAAGGGACATGTTTTGCATCTACTGAACAAACATGGAGCACTTCTTAAACCTGGAGGTACTTCGGCATAAAGTCTGTTTTTAGCTGCTATCTGTGCTAAGGTGGAATTTTTTATGTTTCGTAAAAATCGTTTAGAGTACCCACGCTCTTTCAGTTTTGAGAAAACAATCGTACAGGCTTGGTTGAAATCAGAAGATCTTGTACAAATTCGATGAAATCGTAAAACTTGTGACTTAATTATACCAGAAAAGGTATGTTTTTGGTGAAAGGAGCTCTTGTGCAAGAGTTGATGATTATCTTTGAAATACACTTTAATATCCAGTTTATTTGTTTCTGCTATGGAATCTCCCTTAAAGACTGTGGTATCGAGAAAGTCTGTGCTTTTGTCACTCACGTTTGCGGTTAGTTTGATAGAAGGATGGTGGTTGTTGAGAATTTCAAAGAATTCCTGAAGAAAAAACTGTTCGATAGAATAAGTCCAAACCATAAAAATGTCATCCAAAAAGCGTCCGTAAAAAAGTGGGTCAAATGGACAGAGGGGCAACACCTCACGTTCATGAAAGTTATGGACGGATGATATATTTCAAAAGCGAAAGGTCATCGTGCAACTACTTGTCTTGCGGCGCTATGTGGGAGTTTTAATAAGAATTAAAAATATAAGTATTAAAAATTAATATGTTAAGTTAATGTTAACGTGTAACTTGTAATGCAAGTAATAATCAGAAATCTTTTCCTTCTACTTAAGTCGCAGACATTAAAATTGTAAGGCGTTTTTAAATTCTTGAAGCATGATTGCCTTTTCCTTAATTCCAATTATGTAAAGTGACGTCGAAAGCTTTGTGTCGGTTCTATCAGTTGGGCTGTATAGTTCTTTTAGTTATGAATGATTCAGTAATTCAGTTGGGGGTCCCCGGAAGCTGAGAATGACATTGTGAAAATATCCCAAATTAGTTCAAGATGTTTTGCGTTTTGAATAACCTCAGATGTCCACAAGTAATTCAAAGAGTTAAATACTATACTGCTGATTTATTCAACTACTCAGGAAATTGGGAAAATAGTTCATGTTGAGCCGAGTTTGGTTTCAGGGAATTATCTCCCACCAAAACGTGGTTTAGATATAATCCATCTAATCCAGCCACTGCAAATATATCACAGTTGGATAACATTTAAGGTTTATTAAGTTCTATTACAAAATATATTCATTTGTGAAATCACTGTATGACAAACCCACTGTGAGTTATTAATCAAGTTAAGTGTTAAATGACGACAGTTATTTCCCTTGAGATTGAACAGTAAAGAGTTATTTCCCTTGGGAGAACAATATGCGTGCATTAGATTTTGTGTGACCTAATTTAACAATACATAGAGAATCAATCAAAATATATATATATATATATACGTATATATATATATGAATACAAACTTTTAAAGCGTTTAATCGACGGACAAACAATGCATCGAGCATATGCCGAACTAATCACATTGCTCGCTTGATAACATAGGCTATTAACAACCCATTGATGTTAAATGTATCGGATTTAACCAAGATATCTCGGCTTCCACCGGGCCCTGAAGTGATGTGCAGTGAGACCTATATAAGACAGGATTTTGACTCCTCAAAACTATTTTCAAAAATCCTCATCCAAGCAGTTGACCCGAATAAAATTGTTGCAGTTACATCAATAAATATCCGTACAAGCAAGACAATTCCGTTAATCAAACCCGCGTTCAAAGTATAGCTAAACTGAACCAAAAGTTTACATTTATAAATGTTTGGGAATTATGTCTGTTCAAATCGGATTTTCAGTCTGAATGTAAATAGTGATCTATTTGACACTCTAATTAATTATTAGAAGAATAATTATAAGAAGCGCATGATAATTATACACATGAAAACTAAAGCATATGTGGGCATAAGGGTTGCTATTTCACTTTTCAGCATCTTACGGTTTGATGAAGTCATGAACAATTTCTTTCCCGAGTTTACTCGACCACCTACGAGAGGTGATTAAAGAACGTAGTTGAACTGCCATAACATGAGAAATGGGATTTGTTATTCTGGTATTTAATCATCGAATCAGAGATAAAAACACAGTGATAAAATACTGCTAATTACATTATAGCATGCAACATCATTATGTCCTCGCCTATTCTCATTTAAATATACTATTTCAGACTCTAATTACAGGAGATTTAACTCAGGGGGAGATAATTTGTCTCTATTATCCTTTATTTGCTTTGTGCTAATGATTCCATTGGTCCCAATTAACCGACGATAATAACGCTGGGTCACCATGACCTATAGATATTGTTCTAATTCTAGTATCATGAAACCCAAACATTATTTTATAATGTTACTTTTATGACATGAATTGCATGCGCGATTAACTCTCTAAATTGTTATACGAATCCCCGAGGGATGTAAGCCGTAATTAAATAAGCTCACATCATGTTTGAAATTAATCGCCTAAGCAAATTATGACAAGAAACCCATAATTCGATCAGAGGTCTGAATTTTTTTTTATCAACAAGTCTCGTGAAATCGTGTTACAACTCTTTCTTATGACAATGGAACAGAACCGAATTTTATTTTAAAGGGATTGTAAAGAGGTTTTCTATTATGTGTATCGCGCTGAAAGCATCAATTTGCACCATTCCAATTTTAAATCAAACGTCTGTGGTTCCTGCAATTCCTGCAAGTGTTTGATCCTTAATTGTAAAATTTGCTTTAATTAGGCCCTTGGCGATAAGTGACGTCATTAAACACTTATTTTTAGAGGAATTGCAGGAACCACAGACGTCTGATTGAAAATTTGAATGATGGAAATTGATGATATCGTTGTCCACGATACACATATGAAATTTAGAAAAACTCTTTACAATCTCTTTAAGACTTTTTCAGGTTTTCAGAGTTGCTCATGTATCTGTATATTTTAGAGTCACCATGTGAAAGTTTTCTCTGTGATAATGGGAACTGTATTTCCCCTGATTTAAATTGTGATGATGTGGACAATTGTTTTGATTTTACTGAAGAATGGGAGAATGGAACAGCAGCATGTATTGGTAAGTTTTCCAGTAGCTTCAGTATTATGAAAGGTTTTCACTTTGTACTTGCCAAAGTACTTTGACACTTCCATGCAGGATCCAAAGAGTGATTGAGGTATCCATCAAAGGTGCCAGTCTTATGCCAAATAAACATGACCAATTCAAAATCGAGTTTGGATGATGAAACAAAATTTAAACTCGATGTTAGTGACTTGAGAGCTTAAATTATCTGAAGTAAGTTTTCGAGAATAACGCTCTTGTCCTGGCAGAGTTTTATATTTTATACAACACCATATCATCAACATATTTGCACCCTTGTACCTAGTTTCGTTCAATACAAAAATTCATTAAATAGAACGTATTAACTCCTGATTATAATTAAGGAAATGAATGAAGGATGATCTACTAGCATGGCGGACAGAGACAGGCAGTCAAATATACCGTCTGATAAACCGAATTAAATTTTAGTTATTTTAGACTTTACTCTGTTCAATTAACCACATCACGTGAAAAAATCATTTATTTTTTAGATTTGTAATCAATATCCTATTTCAAATACATCCAATATGTCTGCCATTGATAGCATTTCTCCTGAATTGAATATTTGATTGTCAGAATAATGATTTGAGAGGCGGATTCTCTTGAGAGCCGTCCTGTCAACTGGTTGGGTTGACATGGATTGTAGGTTGACATGACATTTAAAATAACTTCTTGTTTCTAACTAACCGCATCACGTGTTTAATGACAATAAAGTCTGGGCACAACACCCACGTCTTGAGACTGTTGGTTGGTAAACAAGTTAACTTCTGCACTGAGCGTAGTAGGAACTGCTACGTGTTGAGAGTCGAAATCACGTCCTCAAACTATTGCCTTGACATCAAAAATCGTTATAATCTCCAGGGGATTCAAACCCACGATAGCTATCACTGTGTAACAATTGCAATACCAACTGTGCTACGAATTGATATGTCTGAAATATAATTGTTCAGTTGACTGAAATGAAAGCAGATTGATTCACCACCAGGCGTTTTATTTAGGCTTACTCAGCACGAAAGACATTTGAAACATTTTTCTGAAAAGTCCTTCGGCACGTATTTATCTATAATCTTCAATATTCATACTAAACTAAAGGAATATTTACAAAAAATCTGATCACCTGGAGTGGAAGTAAATCTTCCGCAAGTCTCCACGGGTCGTGGTCTATGGTTCTACCTAGTGCTGTAGGAATCTAGAATCAGTTATCTACATTTTAGACAATTTATTTTTTGTAGAATATTATCCATTTCCTGGAGAGAATTTTGGAGTTTTAATATCCGTGGTATGTGTTGGTGGTTTTGTCGGTTTATCAGCAGCGTGTTGCAGAATGTGGCGGCGCAGAAAGCAGGAAATGCACGATGAAGATTTGTACGAAATCAAAAGTGGACCTTATGTACACAAATATGGTAAGTTTGGCATTATGGTGGTATTGAAATCCGTACAAGCAAGACAATTCCGTCAATCAAATATCTTGTCCACAGAATGGCAAAATCAGGAGTAAAGGTGGTAATTGTAGTGGACTCCAAAGAGAAGGTGCGCGCGACATTACATCCTCTGGACTTCAACAGAGATCTTGTGTTCGTGGTATCAGAAATCCCATATTCGATCTTAAAAAGGCAGATTGCCATCCTCTTGAAAAAAAATCAAAAGCCCAGCATTCGAATTTAATTATCACTAGCGAGCTATTCGATTATTTCAGTTTCGTTCTATTTCAGCCTACCGCTATGCCTTCTTAAAGCCGCCATCACACTTCCGAAGAGACATAAAGAAATCTGATCGATTTGCTAGGTAATAATTTATTTAGTTATCCACCAATAAGCAGCTTATTTTTCCAGTGAAGCAGCTTAAAGTCCACTGTGAATTGTGAAAGAGTAAAAAACACTCGTTTATTTTTGTGGAGCACAATGACTATATATAAACAACAAAGGACTAGAGGAAAAAATAAACGAGACATGCTTTCAATACTACAATATTAATAATCCAAACCATATAAAAAAAATATCATTACTAATGACTGACTGTGCTGGTGAAAAAAAAATATTTGTATGATTTTTAAAGAGAATTTGCATGTTTTTATCCAATTTGCCGCCTATTTATTAAAAATCTAACGATCAAAATTTATTGTCTTCAGCACGCAAATGTAAACATCTAAGATAAATTTTGATCGTTTCATTTTTTGTTTTGATGGGCTTGATTTTTGCCTTGTACAAATAAATTTCGATTCAGTTTTATGTAAATTTTTAGATCGGCTTCTTTTCAGAGCGACGTGAGTGAAATGTTATAGATTTTATGATAGCGGCAAACGGAGAGCTATAACTTCCAGGACTTTTGTTATTGTGGTTACAATCAAGCTTATTGTGATGTTGGTTGTGACTTGGTTACTGTGTTTACAATAACATCACTGTGGTAATGGCATGGTTCCCGTGGTTACAATAACATCACTATGGGAATGGTGTAGTTACTGTAACAACATTACTATGGTTACAGCTTGGTTACGACACTACATCAAAATGGTTATTGTAGTTACGACTGCCCGTTACAGGCCAATACCTTGCCTTACATCATTCCACTACCTCAAGCTAAATAGTTTTACTTAGCAACATAAAATAATTTCTCAAACAAAATCTGGATAGTGAAACAGCATTGAAGCTAATTTAATTCCTACAAAAAACACTTAAATTACCGTCCGAGTTAACATATGTAGTGCAGTAAATGCACATTGTGTTAAGTAAAAATATGGACAATTTGTACACAAATCAACCAATTCTTACACGTGAGTTTGAGAAAAACCAAAAAAAATCTTCGTTATATATTTGTGTGAAACCGCATTATCCATGGCATATTATTACAGAGCGGACTTGTTATTAACAGTGTCTGGTGCATGGATGGAAGGAATTTAACGTCAGGAACCAGTGATCAGAGAACATCGTTTATTACTTATTGTGCCATTATGATAATCATCGTCGTCCTCATGAAAATCGTGTTCATTGTCACAATAACATCTTCAAAGTGTTGTTTGAACAAGTTTCATTGAGAAATTGTACAAAGAGGAAATTTCATTCGTTTTGAAAGAATGATCTGATTTCCACTTTCACATTCTGTCGTTCAACCCTTTTGATTCAGAAGGTTGCTTTGATAAGAATATTTTGTTTTGTAGTATGACACACGCAATGTTACATCATTAATTCGCAATACAGTAACTATTCAAAAGAAGAATTTAGTGATGGTGGTTGGCTAGTTAATCAAAGCAACCCATAGGCAGATTAAATTAAAAATGAATACACAAGGAAAGTTTGGGATATTTCGCAACGCGAATTGCATCATGGCTTTTAATCAGGACATGTTATCAAGGAAAGATTAGAAGAAATTTCCGGAAGAAAACAGCTATTCATAAACATCATACGCATCATGAGCTTATATCGACTTACAATAAGGTGTAGAACGGAAAGACGTTAAAATCCATTTCATGTCGCATTTCAGGCAATATATTCTTGTTCATTGGAATAGTTTTCCAAAAACCTAGCCTATTCACATGCACTGGTTTGCCTCGAGAAGTAGATAATACCTAACTTTAAATTCAGATAAAAAAAAGGATACATGATTGCATATTATTCAAAGGCTTTAATGATTCAATTATAGATTCAATGAGTATCAATATTTCATATTGACCAGGGTGTTCAATGGTGCTCGAATATGGCGCATTAATATCATAAAATATTCTATTTTCTTGTCTGATATCGACAGAACTTAACAGATTTTTATATTGTAATACATCAAAAGAATAATCCATAATGACTAGAAGTAATGTAGTTTGTATCTGTTGTTTGTTAAAAATAAAATCTGTCAAGATTATATTGGAAAATTATTGACCTAGATCAAGTATCAAAGAGTAAATAATGTCTTCATTGAAATGAAAATAAATCTCCATGAGTCAGTAGGCTACTTCCGTTAGTTCTGCAATGAATAGTCCGCACCAAATATCACTTCCGGCACTCCTAGAGTGGAGAACAATGGAGTAAATTGGACATTGAAGTAAATCTTTCTGTTTAATATATGATGTGACGTACTTCTGTTCATTTTGCTTTTTTTATTTTTATATAAGATAAAAATACTGGATGCTGTCCATTCAACACTAAGAGACACAGTGTTAATGAAAATGGCCCAGATTCGACATTCAACATTTTGTCACAAAACATTTTCATTCTTTCACTTAAATTGTGAATACTAGTAATATATTAGGACGCCATTTGTCAATTTTGAAAATAATCCAATAATGTTATTATACGTGTTACCTTGTTATACCATTGAATATAATTTGTATTATATAAATTATTGTTTGTTTGTAAATTATATAAAAATATATTTGTAAGGATAAGGATTATTTTATGTGATGCTAACGAATCGAATCCTGCCTCGCCAGAGGCTCGTGATAAAGTTCTTATTTTAGTGGAGACAAGAATCTATAATCAAGTTTTAAAAAGTGGTCTGAAGAACAATACGAACAGCGTAATAATAAGACAGGCTTCGACCAAGACATCCTCTTTTGTCCGATCATCAATTGGGGATTTAAAGTTTTATATTAGTTTTCTTTTTTAAGGTAAAATTGATAAAAAGTAGCCCCGAAGGTCTCATACTATCATGTCTGAAGGACGTCTTATGAAACCTGTTGAATTAAAGAATATCATCTTTTGTAGTGCTTCCATTAATGGACTTTAGTCTGGACTTAACCTCAATAACCTACCATTGCCTTTTAATCTTTTATCTTTACCCCTTCTCACTTGAAACATTTTGTCATAATCTACAATATACCATACACTGTGTATCCTTTATAAGCCAGATATATGGCCGAAATCATCATGAAAACGCAGAATAGTAAAGTGCTGGCCACAGAGATCATCACCCAAATAAGTCAAAGAGGTTAAGTCTGTTTAAAATAAACTCTTCGATCCATGTTTCTAGAGACACACGAAGCGTTAAATTTATTCCATTTCCCACATACCGCCAATCGTAACGTCTAAATGAACTAATATGTCAACAAGAAATAAAGAATTGTAATGTTAAGGGAAGTAACCCGAACTCTTGTCATACAGGACTAAACCACTAAAACTTTTTATGTTAATGATTGTATTCCGTCCAATTTTACGAAATCCTCCTTCTCCCTCCCTTTCAGATTTTTGACATGCCTTTTTCGACTAATTTTTGGTCTAGATTTGGAATTTGGTGTCTCAAATTGCATTTTCTTTCAGATTTTGTAACATGATGAAAGATTTTCAAGCGGGAGGATAATTAAATAGTCGTTTTATGTGCAGTGACAGTCAAGCTGATGTTGATAAAATGTGGTGGTCTACTTTCAGTTTAGCTTGCTCATGATTTTCATGGTCATGATGTAATGAATTGTTGTCCAGAAAGTAAGTATTGGCCATGTTTTCATGTGACATATTGAAATATTTTCAACGAGTTTTCTGGAAAAAGTTATAGAGGTTGAATTTCGTGATTTAACATGGAAAACAGATGGCAAATGAATTACCTTAGTCTTAGTAAAGCTGATAACATCGTGATGATATATGTAGTTGTTTTTATCTAATTGGATGCTAAGGTTCCAGGCAACTTCAAGACTCGTATAATTTCTTAAACCACGATCGTTGATTCTGATAAGAGAACTAAGTTTAGTTATTTGTCTCTTTGTTCATGTGTGGTGACAGCACACATGAGGTATAAATAAGCCAAATCTGCGACCATCGTCTACAGCTCGACTACCAAACACCAAGAATTACTTTACTCGACTACCAAACACCAAGAATTACTTTGATCAGAACGAATTACGAAGACCGAGTAACTGACGCCACACCACCCACGGCCGAGTTTCACCGCCGTGTCATTCGACCCGACCAGATCGCACGAATTATCAACAACCAAACCAACAACACCGAATCATCCAATTGAACAATCCAACTACCAACTACTACGACTACCAACAACTATCTAGTTTTCGATATCAGCATCCACTGGAAGCAAACTTTATCTGATCATCTACCAACTAACCAAGTGGATGGGCGCCAACATCTGAAGAACTTATAAATTTAGCCTTTTATTTGAAACCTACAAGAATCATACTGAATGATATTTAATCTGAGAGTGACTAAATGATGTATCATCACTTTATATAATAAAAATCAATTGTTATATATATGCTGCCGAGTTACTTGATATCAACTAAGAGACTCTTGTCTGCAATTTATATTAAATTTTAATAGATTTACATGTAAAATGATATAATGCCGATAAATCAAAAGATAAATACTCATAAAAAATATAAAGGTGAATATCGACAAATTTCGACGGAGAAGTGTTGTTCGTCAAAAGTGCCTTGCTGTTACAATGAGCGCAAACATGGGGCCCTTTACATACGTTACATGCTGGGCACATTATATAATATGCTAGACAGTTGGAATGTTTTTAATGTAGGTATAGAACTTTTCTCAAAGCCTATTTTAAACGGGCGTAGAGCAGTAGTAGATGATTCATCATATAAATTGCGCAATACTAGTAGAAATATAAACTTATACGACCCGATGATAATTGTAGATTTTACAATGCAGCATAGTTAGAAGATGTGGCAATATGCCATTGATACTAAGCACTCGTTTCGTTAAACTTGTGATCAATTAAACGATTATTATAAAGTAACCGTTAAGACAGATTGCTTGTTCGCCATCATTACCATAAATGTTTGAAAAAACCCATTTGAAACATCAGATCCCTATAAATAGTTAACACCTGAATTGCAATCTCTCCGTACGACAGGTGAGAAGCCACGCCCCACTTAGACAGTATTAATGATAGTGGTAATGTTTACACTGCATTTTGTTTGTTTTTATTCTAATCTTGATACGATATTTTATCACGGACTGAGATTGTTGCTAAAACCATGGAGAGATGCAAGAGACATTCCGGAAGGAAATCAGCTAAAACATCAGTTAGTTCTAGTGAAAATCGTGGTCGGATAGATCCAAGGTAATTAAATAGTTTTTACTTAGATTTTAACCATCAAGACAGTGTATTCTTTTATTTAAATAATTAAACTTTATGTGTTAGGTTTATGAATTATTTCTTATCTTATACAATGGTTCAAAATTGCAATATTTTAATTTTTGATACAAATGTATTATTTTATTATGTATTATAAACAACAGGCGTCCACCTAACAAGAAATTTTATGCCGTTTTACTCGAGTATGAGATCTAGAAATTTTAATTATAATGCTTCGTTATCAATTATTCCAATTTAAGTCGCAATTAAAATTGTGTTCAAGTTACGCACGTTAAAGCCTCAAAACAATGTAAAAAATGACACAGGAACATAAATTCAAATATAAAGGCCAGCGTTTTTGTCGATGAAAAATTATCGGTTAATCCGCGTCTCTGATGCCTGCAACATCGAAACAATAACGGAAATAATACCATATGAAATATTTTTAAACCAAATCAAGATGGAATTTTATATTAAAAATACACCATCCAAAAAGTGGGTAATCACATTGTAATGAAAATGATACATTATTTAAGTCCTGCTATTCCTATTATTCATCACTACGCAGTAAAAAAACCAGATCCTATGCACAATTGTGACTGCTAATCAAAAGTGGAAGCCGCTCGGTATCGACCACATACATCGAAATCACAATCAGAAATCAAAGTCCGAAATCCAAGTAGCGGGGAATTCTAATCCAAAGTTGCATGATATGCCTCGGAAGTTACTATATCCAGAATGAACCTGTTATTCCCGAAAGACATATTGTAAGTTTAGAAGACTACTGAATGCCCTAAACAGTAAAGATTGGTTTTATTCAAGTTTTGATGGTGTCGTGTTGTTCTTACGACAGATCGTGTTCCCTGTCCTGAACACCGTACACGAAACACTTCAAATTACTTCAATATTTGTCTAATTTGAATATTAATAATGGGGCTATAAAATAAATATAAATATAACTTTAAATGAATTCTGTAAATTTTTCAAACTTTTAGACGTGACAACGTTGATTTATTCAAAATGACCGAAAAGGGTACCTGGTATCTTCCAAAAAATTTCAAATTCCAATGTGCTCTTATTTGTAAGATAGTGACTGTAAATTATGTAATAATTAGGTTCTGTTCAGGTTATAAGTAGCATAGACACGCAACACTGGTCGTGCCGTAATGATACCTCTATTTTCAAAGTGTTTGTTAGAATTTTAATGATTTTGAATGATTGAGAACATTCCAAAATAATCGATGTTATTTGATCCTTATTTTGTGAGAAAGTAATATAAGCTTTCAGATCTAAGTCGTAGATTTACCGCTAAACAATAAATGTGATCTAGCTCATGGTTTTATAGCTTTAAATCGAAGAGTCATCAAGATGTTATGAGATTCTTATTCCGTAAGAAAATTATTTCGGCGCTTTGTCTTTCAGCTTCAAGTCGAAGAGATATCGAGATAAATTGCGATATGAGATCAAATCTCTTGAAGCTCTCATACCAATCGACAGAACTTCACTAAATCGTAAACTGGACAGTCAAACTGTGTTCAGATTGATATTATCTTATTTTAGAACCAAACAATTCTTTCAAGGTAAGTAGAACTATTTCGATATATAATTGTTTAATTGAATTTCGTTTTATCTTAAATAATTGACCATTAGGGATTGTCAAGGGGTTTTTGTAAACGTTTTATTTGTATCGGGGACACTGATAACATCGATTTGCGACATTCCAATTTGCAGTCAGATGTATGTGCCTCTTGTAATTCTACTTAAATTGAACATTTTGTATCAAAACTAAATGCCCTAGGATAATATTAGCAGCTCTTGGGACAGCGACATCATTTTCGATAAATATATTAAAAAAATCTGATTGTGAAATGAAGTCCACATTGCTTTTCTGCCATTGCCTTTCAGCTTCCGGTGTAGACAAAATTCCCCTAGAACATCAAATTCAAGATGGAGAACAACCAGATGAAAAACAATTAGTGCAGGTAAGGCGTTTTTATCATGTTTCTACCAATGCCACACATTATTTTCTAAAGCTTCGACTCTGATATGTAATGCAAAGTTATACAAAAGCCTTTGATCGACAAAATAAAGAAGAGCATAGCGTAGTTGAAATATTTAATCATATTTAACATTACTGTACTAAGAAATTTAAACAAATCGAGCAAGAGGATATTATTCTATGTGTCGAATCATTTTTCTCGTCCAAAAGCTGTCCTACTGTCGAATCATCATGGTTTAACGAATATACAATTTCCAAATTGTATCACAGCATAGGATATAAACCTGTATTTAGTTAATCCTTTCTATGTATTTAAGCAATTTATTGACTATGGAGTTTAAAAAGTCATTAATCTCACTCCATTTAATCCTTTCGGTAATCAAACTTCATCGACGACGCTTAAAACAAAGAATTCTATTTGCTTATCTCCCTTTGTCTCGTGCGAGTAATAGCCAATAATTAGCCAGCTTTAACTTTCAACAGACACAAGAACGATAACTCTTGATAGTAAATAAACCAAACGTCAAATTGTCATTATTTGTGTCAATTTCATTGACGGATAGACGAAATAACTCGGTAACCAATCAAAGTTCTAGAATATTTAATCCGGGACTATATTAAATGTATTGACTTTGATCTTATCTTCGTCAACAACCCAACTATTAAAATGGTTTTTAATAACGTTGATGATTGTACATGGATCAATATGTGTGGGTGGATTATTCTCTAGAAGTGGTTGATACAGTTTAAAAATTCTTCTGAGAATTGCTCTGTCAACATGACTAGCACCAATAATCTGTTCTCCTCACATTCCAGGATTTTGAGACCCATACCTTACTCGTTCTTATGCGGTCCGTTTAGGAATTAAAGTTATTTGTAATTTCACCATTGATTCCCCTGATTAAATCTTTAGATATTGTAGATATTAGTCCTTTAGTACAAAACGAAGAATTTGCACCAAACTTTAAATTAGCATTAATACCTGATGGTACTTCTCTTTGGAGGAGTTTACTATACTGTAGTATTTTTACTCTACTTGCCATACTTTGGACGAGATTTCGATTAACGGAATTGTCTTGCATGTACGATTTTTTATTAATAGTAGCCTATACTGGTAATGGTATACTCCCGGTTGTGGATATGGATAGGTTGTTACCTTATTTATTCCAACATAAATAAATCTGTTATATTTCAGGGTCTCGATGGGTTTGTTATCCTATTATCATCTGATGGTATTATATTATATGTATCGGAAAATGTTCTACATTATATTGGCTTCAACCAGGTATTGTATGGCTTTTATTGCGCAGTGATTTAACAATTTAGCATATTTTCTATGTCCGAGTACATTTATGGCGTTAAAGATGCAGAATGAACCATCCGGCATACGTAGACATTGGAATGATATATCTTTTCAAGATAAGATACCACTTTACCATAAGTATTGATCAGCTATTTGAATTCATATTGTTGACAAACTGATAACTTCTAGTTTTCAGTCTGGAAAATGATATTCTGTACTATCAGTGGCAACGAATAAATGTGACTATGGCCCTTTTTCACGAAGAAAAGACCTAAACACACAAATCCCAACTCTCGTCATGCATATATGAATGCTCACCTTATCTTAAATCTGTTTTTCAGGTAGATTTATTACACAGATGTATATATGGTATAGTTCATCCTGATGACCATAATGATTTACAGTGTAACTTGGAACAAACTCTATCACCAGTTTTAATATCGGTAAGACATCCTTATCTTATTTCTGAACGAATCCATCAGAGCAGGTTCAAATAAAGTCTGCGATTCTGGGTATGAAATGTTTCACATTTTCAGGACGTGCATTAGTATAACTTAAATCCACCCAAGAGTATTTCGTTTGACAAGGCAATATCATAATGAAGTTATCGGTTTTATTTGGAGGCATCATCCGCTATACATTGATCGATAGCCATTATCTTCAGGATTTCTCCATCCTTACCAATCCAGAGGAAACCGAAGTATGCAAACCGCTGTCCTTTATTTGTCGTATGAAATATTTTAATGGTAGCTCAGCAGGTTATCTGGTAAGTATGCAATATTATTCCAAGTGGCTAATAAAAACCGCACAAGCAAGACAATTCAGTTAATCAAATCTCGTCCAAAGCATGACAAAATCAAAAAAAATATTATAGTAGTGAACTCCTCCAAAGAAAAGTACCATCGGGTGTTTCGAAAAGAGTAAGCATGGTCTGCTTCTGTCATTTTGTGCTTTTTGTGGTAATTGGTACAAGGAAAAAAATAACATAATTTTTTTGTAAACACTATTTACCTTTTAAGACCAATAGAATCACATTATGATTTCGGTACGTGGTACAATGTTTTGTTTATGACAGAATTTTTTTTTCTCAATTTTCTTTACAGAAAATGCATTGCTCTGGTAAAATAGTTCATCAGCCTGGTGTTCAGACCAATAACCGTTCGTCTAATCAGATGGTGTTTTTATTTGTACACCCTTTTATGTACAACCATGTGGAGTTGCTGTGTCAGGAACGGAAAGAGAAGACGTTTTGGAGTAAACATGAAATGGATTTGAAGATTATCGAGATGGACCAGAAGTATGGCTCGATTTACTTAAACATTAACTCTCTTATACTGCTTATCAAAATATCATAGAAGGAATATGACGACCATAAAATGAAAATTCTACAAACCAACTTTTCATAACCAAGCTTAAGCTTATTCGAATAGATTCCATCAAACGATGAAAGATGCGAGGGGTACTTAGATCTGTGTCATGTGTTATTTTAGGGTAAAGGATGTTCTAGGTCTTGAAGATTCTGAGTTCAAAAATCAATCATTTTACAACTTAATCCACCCTGAAGATCTGTCAACTTTCTCCACTTGCCATAAACTGTGTAAGTAATATCTTTCAATCTCTCTATATAAAAATGTAGTGAAAAGGTGATCTGTGCTATCAGAATGGTTTGCTGGAACAATGGCATGGTATAACAATATTTTGTTAATTCATATTGTCATTAGAAATTAATTGCATGGACATCTGAACCAAAAAAGGATCCCTTCAACAAGACACTTTGTACTGTATTCTGCTGCCAATACATTCTGTATAGTCCTGAATAATTAATATATTATATTTTGTTTAAAGTAACAGAATCCACACAAGTACAAACAATATACTTTCGGTTGGAGTCGAAAGATAAACGATGGAAATGGTTCCAAAGTAGAGGAAAGGTTCTGTCAAAGAATTCAAAGAAATTTTCAATCGTCTTTTCACATTGTCCATTGAGGTAAGTTTTCTTTACACGTTACACAAAGAAAGAAAAATGCCTTAGAAACAGCGACCCTATGGACCACAAAATAAACTAATTTCTATCCCTTTTGCTTGTCACACCCAGCGAATCCAATGAAATGGTTTCTTAAATGAGCAATGATACACCTTAATTCTATCGCACGTGTATTTTCAGTGAAGACGATAGCACGTTTATTCAACAGGAGGCGAGAATACGACATAAATATGGCATTACAGATTTACCACAAAAGATGGTTTCAGCCGAGAGTAGAGCGCCTTGGACACCCGATAAAGAGCATGGAGTCAGGGATCACCCCTTTGCATCGTTGACAAGGTATTCACAACCACAACCAGATGACCTTCTCTTATCATTACAATCTGTCAACTGTCCATCAAGTTGGCACATGCTCAGTGATCGACATTCACCTGTACTTCCATCCAACCATGTAGCTCATAAAATAATGCAACAAGAAAAGCAGCGACAGTTTCTTGAATTTAAACGCCAACAAACTGAAAACATTTTGGTCAACAATCTTGGTAATATGGGTTGGAATTCATATGAGTATGGTCTTTCCTTGCCGCATTTTTCGGACCATTATTCACAAGCTGATTCATCGCCATTCACGTCATATTCGGAGGCTCCGGTGTCCGGTATACCATCAACATTACTTTTTGTTCCTAGTCCAGGAATTCAACAATTGCCTACCAACTCCCATCAGATCTCCACAAATATACAGACCACCCAGAATGTCATCATGCCAGCAAATTCTGCAAATATTTGGCCTGATAATTTGCAAACAAGTGTATTTGTCCCGTCACATAATACGAGTTATGTCCCTTTGTACCCTATTTCAAGCTATGTGTGGCCGGTTAATCTGCATCATTATGATTCTAAACAAATTTTATGTGGAAGTACCACAATATCTCAAGAGATAAAAACAAGTCCATGTGTTACATCAACAGCAGAGTTGCCTCCCTCTGATGGTCAAGATCCAGATATTGATGGTGTTGCTCATATGAAAATTGTTGAATCCGTTCCACCACCCGAAACCCCCCGACAGGTGGACTTACCATCTATCGGGAGCTTTCTGGAGTACCTCAATGAGGTCTGAAAGATCCTTCTGAATTAAATCGACAAAATGAATGAGGTAGATATGAAAAGCACATTCCGTAAACTTCTAGTTTACCGATATCTAGTCATCAGCAATTGTATCAGTGTCTATGAATATATTTAATGTTTTGCAAATACAGTAACTGAAAGCCCTGATCTGTCTTATGAATACTACAATACTTCATACACAGAACTTGAGAACTATTGCAGGCGTCATTGAAGAACATTTTGTTGAAGAGCATAATAATGATATTCTTCACAGATACGTAGACAATATGATCTCATTGACTTTGCGAATGGTGTTTATATCTTATTATATGTGAGCTTTATTGTGGTACAGTATCATACCTGGTTTATGATGATCTCCCTTGAAAGAGTTTATTTGAATATTTCTGGGGATATTTCTACATATAAAATTAGAATCGCATATTTACATAAGGAGATGATAAGAAAAGAAAAGTCCAATCCTTTATGTACCTTTAGTGGTGGGGATGTTTTAAGTTACCACTATAATCGGATTTGCAAACATTTGTTCGTGTGGAGTCGGACTCGGTGTACGTCATAATCATTGTTATTCAAGAATTATTGAGGTATTCAAACGGTTATATTTGCAATGGTAGTTGACGATCTTCCTTCCATTATTTGTCACACTGTAAAATATATAGTGTCCTTCTATTTTTATGTGCATTATTTATACAAATTGCCCTATAAAAGAATTATTGAAAACGAACAAATAATCGAGCTTGTAATAATTAAAATTACGGCTGATTTGAAAATAGCGTGGATTCTAAAGCTTTAAAATGATTTCTCAATTATATATGTCCCTAAATACCCACAAAAGTTGCCGCAAGACCGAAGGCATGTTTAACACAAAAGACACTGCAGAACTAACAAAAACACCCGAACAAAACGTTCTACACCCTTCTTAGCAGGGGACTGGTTGGCTGTGATATACCTGTCATTATAGGATAAAGTACTATTTGTCACTCGAGTTAAAAGTCCTTATTTGTCAACTAATTGATAATTTATTGTTACTGACATTCAAGTTAAGTTAGGCGTTAAAGAATTTAAGTTGACCCTTTGGAAAAATGAATATAGTGATATTTAAGGTCATAGCGTCACAATTCAATCAGTTTGTTTTCTTTATCAATTATACAGAATAAAAAAAAGAAGAGAAGAGATGTATAGTTGGCGACCCCATTCGAAGAGTGGGAATGCTCTGCCCCGCTAGCAACACTCACCACAAGTCATAATAAACAACTTGATTACTTAAAACTTCCTTCAATTGTCGATTGTGACAGTATAAAATTACAACACACGTGACGCATTGAAGTGCAAATATAGCCTTATTGCTCTGTACATTATTCAGTCCTGAAGACAGTCGATATTACACCATGTCCCTTTAGTAACAGTACGATGATTTACCACATCTGCTATATCACACATGTATTACTGACATCTATGAGCAATCGGGCACTATCGTAAAGTAAAGTTGCATTGTCACTGTGTTCTATCATATATGAATATGAATATAATATATCGACGTTGTTATGATAAACGGATACACATTGAAGTAGGTCTATTTAACGGCGGTGCAAGCCTCNCGGGAACTGGAAGTTTGGGG